GTTATTTTGACTTGTCAATAACTCATTTTGTCTTCTCTTTTATTGCAGAAGCATGTGCCACAGAATTCTCTCTCCCAAGATAGCTGGAAAGTTGTGTTAAAGGTGAGAAAAAAAGGTTGTGCCACTTGCAGAAGAGAGAGGCAGATCCGAGGGGTGAGGAACGATCCGAGGCCTTTCTCTTATGGATCCGTGCTCGGATCGTATGACTTCAGATGTACTGCTCCAGAAATAAAGACGAGGGCTCGGATCGCCATTTGTATGCTGGTTAATTTTTTAGTTTTTTACTTCTTTTCTTTTTCTTCAATTTTGCTCCTAGTATCCTTGTACTTTATCCTCCAGATGATCCTTACATTTTTTGTTATCTTGTGCATGAATTCCATCTATTAAAATCCTTCACATTTTAACAAAATTAACAGTTAATCCACTCATTTATCAAATTTTGAACACTTAAACAATATTTAAGCAATTATCACCAAAAGAGTTCAAATATGGCTTTAATCTTCCCAAAACATACCAAAAGTTCATACCAAACTTGTACAAAATGTATGTTAAATATTCACTTATCACCTACCATATAAGGGCTATTCCTCTGTCAAATTTCATGCAAAAATTCGTACAGAAGGTCAGTTAACAAAGTCACTAAAGTTCCAAGAATTTCCAAGGCAAACCTCCCTTGTACTTCCGTTTTCCTTTTTCTAACTTTTGGCCAATGAAATCCACTCAAATCTGGTTCATTTATGAAGACAAGGTCTAATAAACATTCAAAATACATTTGGTAGGTGATTGATACCAAAAGTTTCAAAATAACAAGTCCCAATTTGAAATAAGCCATTGGCTAACCCAAAATTAGGGTTTTCAATCACTAACGCAGTTCTGTAATTCGGCCACAACTCACTCAATTCAACTTGAAATTGGGCGTGGTTGGTGGCGTTGGAAACTACATTCATAAGACTACAATTTCTCTGAAGAAATCATTTTGAAATTCTATCCATAACTAGCTCATATTTGAGCAACAAGTCACAATACATAACAGGTTTTCTAACACAGCAGTGAAACAAGACAGTTAACTTTGAAAGGATGGTACGGTTCACTCAAGTTGAATCAGGGAATGCATTTTATACCGTTAGAAAACTGGAGGTGTCTAGTTTCTAGTGCCACAAACGGTACTCGATTTTGAAGTCGAAGAAAAGAGTTATAATCATTTGAAATTCGCTGCCAGAGTAACTCTGGACACGTTTTCCAGCCATGAAGAATTTCGAAATCCAAACATTTACCCAACCAAATCAAGTGATTTTTGGTGAAAACTTTCCACACAACCTATACAACATATTTACATCAAAATCAAGACAATTTGACCACAAAAAATTGCACCAAAAGGTGCGGCAAGGACAGGGCAGAACCGGCCCTTCTTCAATTTCAACTTCCTTTGAGTTTCTTTCTATTCTTTCAACTTAAATCCACTAGATTAACACTTAATCAACATAAATATCATTCAAAATCATCAAATCAGTCCAACAAGTCCATTGTGAGATTTCATAGAGCCCACTCATATGATTTTCAATAATCCAAAATTACCCACATGAAGTTTCGAGTTTCTAAGTGTAATCTAACTTACAAAAGTTAAGATTCAAGGATTGGATGATTAACTACCTCCTTAGATGATGAACTCTCTTCCTAGTCCAAGATGATCTCCAAGTGGTTTCGAGTTTGTGGTAGAAATTTGAAGTGATTTGGTGTAAGAAAGTGAGGTGAAATGATGAAGGTTTTGCTCCTTCTTCTCCTTGGTGTTGTTCGGCCACAATGAGAGAAAAGAGAGAGAGTGTTGCAGCTGCAAAAGCTTCTTGAGTAAGCTTGGTAGGTGAGAGGTTTAAGTGCTCAAAAGTCAACCCTCCAATAGTATGCGTGCGCGCGCGTTTCGTGCTCGTTTCCTCTCGAGTTCGTTTCACTTGTGCACTAAATCTCTAATACACTTCCATTCATACTATTATTATTCACTCTTAATAGTCTAAAAATAAAGGTCTAAAGTCCTTCAATTAATCGCGCGCGCAAAAATGCGTACTTCTGATTTGTGCGCGATAAAGCGAAATTTCTAAGGAATTCTTATAACGATAGTATAACTAACTAATACTTGAGTGCTTAAATATGAAAATAACCCTTTTAGGATAAACCAATAAATAAGTAAATAAATCGGTAAAATAAATAAATAAAATAAATTACGAGTCCTCACAAGTTTAGCAGCTTTATATAGAGATTTTGCTGTTGTAATTGGGTAGAGAATAATGATTATAATCAAACAGATTTGGGATCATTCCCAATTTGTTTCCCCTCTCCCAAATTTCCTCCATTGTTACTCATCCTCGTCATTTCCTGCCTTTTTTTTTTCTCTGTATCGTTTTTTTTTTTTTTTTTTTGTCAGCATAGAGGTATCTGGGTCCATGGACTAGTTACCGTACGACCCAACTGTGACGCCCCGAAAAAAAATGAGTTTGAGAACCCGGAAATTTTCTAATTTTCTAGGGTTAATTTTTTTGTAACGCCCGCCTTTTCTACATTTTCTTGATTAGAAAAAAATCCCAGATAAAGTTTATGAGCAAATATCGTTTTCAAATGATTTTTCTAGTATTGGTGAGTTTTTAGAAAATTAAGAATATATATTGGACGTGGGACCCACTAGTGCGAAAAGTTCGGAAAAATTCGGCCAATTAGGTTAAATTCCGGATACTGTGTAAAATTTATCGGGTGTTAAGAGATAAGTAGGGTATGTGAAGTGATTGATGTGAGAGAGAAAAGAAAGATAAGAATGCATTTAATGAGGTGACAAGTGTCATCTTCTCATTGGTTGCCTTTTAAGAATTACTAGTCATAATTTTGACTTTTTTGACCAAAGGTTAAATATCCAAAAATTGCACAAAATTCACCATTTTTCTCTCCTTGTTGGCCGGCCACCTTGAGCAAGAAAGGAAGGAGATTTCTTCAATTTTCAAGCTTCTACTTGGTGCAAATCAACCAAAAACATTTGCTTCCATCCATTTCACTCCATAAAATTCTTCCTTCTAGAGCTAGTAAGTTGTTTGGTGAACTTTGTTTGAAGGACTAAGGTGCACAACATCTTCCTCTCTCTTGGTTCTTGGTAAGTGAAGCTTGAAATACTCTACTACACCTAATGATGGTTATATGATGCTTAATGGTGGCATGAGTGAAGGAATATATGATTTATTTCTTGATTTGAAGAGTTTTGGTGAAGTTTTTATTTTATTAGGAATTTTTCTGGTTTAATATGAAGGGGATGTTGTGGCCTTGTATGATGAATGGTAATGGCTGATAATGACTCTATGAGGTGTATTGGATAAGAAAATGCAATCAATTTTGGATTTGGAAGAATTTCTGGAAAATTAGGGTTCTTGAAGCTACATTCTGTTCGAAATTTTAGGTCATAGCTAGAGGCCGAATTGGACTTTGCTCAAAACATGAAAGTTGTAGGTATTGATGATTTTAGTGTGCCTGCAAAATTTCAGGGCAATTGGACTAGTGTAGAGTGAGTTATGCCGTTTTTACTGTTGCTGTTTTTGGTGCACAGAATGTCCGAACTGCGATAGTAATTGCCTGTTTGGACTGGTATTGGTTTGGATTTTGAAGTTGGTGTCTTCTGATGAAATGTAGATGGATGTCTTAAATAACTTATGCCTTTGGAATTTCGGCATTTGGACTTGTATGGACTGAGATATACCGATTACAGTTTTCTGTGTTTTGCAAACCTGTTTTGGTGATTCTGGTTTAGTGTTTGGCATTTTTGACCTAGTTGGGTCAGGAACTGGATTGAGTGACCTTCTACATTGTTGTAGCCCTGTCTCTTAGCTTCGAAACGGTGGGTCTTACACCTTCATCCGACCATCGTACTGCTTTTGGTACCATTACCGCAAAAGGACATCAAATCTGTTTTGGGTTTTAGGGCTTGGATTCGGACAAGATAATGGTATATGACGGATGGGTTCTGAGCCGTGGAGGTGAGTGACCCTAAACTATTTCCAAAGTACTTGTGAAATGTTTCTTGCATTAATTATTCGATTGCATATCATGCGTGCTTGCATGTGAATTCATGACATGATTTGGCTTCAATGAGTTCTGGGAAAGTCTTGTGCTGGACACCAACGTATCCACCTTGTTATGGTTCATGTTCATGGTTATCTGGAGCACCGATGTTGCTCCCACTTTCGTGAGTTCGTGAGTTAATGTTAAATGAAATATTTGAGCGTTGGGTGTTCAAGTGCTATGATTTCACCGGCTCACGAGAGCACTAAACGGACATTTGATCTCTGAATCATGACATCATCGAAATCATCGAAATGCAACATTGTGAAATATATTTGCTTAATGATTTTGCTGGTTACTCGCTGAGCTTTTAGCTCACCCCAAAAATATTTTATTCCCCTCCACAGGGCTCAAGGCGAAGGAAGGACTTATAGTACTTGTGCACGTGATTGGATGGCCTATGTGTTGTACAGTTTTGATTTGGAATCATTTTATGTATAGTTAGGAATTGTTTCCGCTGCATTTGTGACATGTAATTTTTGGAGACTTGGATGTATAATTGTGGACCATGTGATGTATATTTGAGATGTATATTGTAATTTATTTGAGAACTTTAGTGAACGACTGAGTCCCGGCGAGAGTCGGGCAGGCGGCCCGCCGAACCCTCTGGTTCGCCTTAGGGGGAGGTGGGGTCGTTACACCAACTATTCCTCTGCGGGTCGGGAGAGGCCACCCAACATCACCGACCGTTGCACCCAGGATTCGAACCTTTGCAGTGGTACTCACCTAACTAGGCTACTACCACTCTCTGTATCGTTTCTTATCTTGTCATTTCCTGCCATTTTCTGTATCTTCTTCTCTTAATATCAATATATGAATTTTGAGCTATTTTCCTGTTGATCTTATTGATATCAATATATTATTGCCTTGGACAGTTACCATCAAATTCTGATTGCCATTCCATTTGCCAATTTTACTCTATTGTCCTTGGCTTGGTACCATCACAAATTCAAACCACCTCCGTCACCAAGTTTTGCCTCCCGATGGCAATTAGGACTTTAGGAAGACCAAAATTTCCCATCCAACTAAATTCAATCCACAATTTTAACCAAGAATTCCCAAACCCAGTATTCAAACAATTCTCCACAGATCCAAAAAAAGCCCTAACTTCGATCCCGCGAAAATCCCATGAAAGGAACCTAATTTCCCTTTCAGGTCTCTTTCGCAGGTATGGTTTTCAACCCTCTCAAATCAGCAATTTCCTCAAAAGTAATCAATTTTTACTCAATTTGAAGCCGTCCCATGTCCAAAAGTCCCTCAAAATTCTCTTATCTTTGAAACCCTCACAAGAATTTCTTTCTTCTGTTGTATATAGTTGTCCTAGTATTTTAGACTTTGATTTTCTTGAAAAATGGGAAACCAAGTTTTCTGATATGGGAATCTCTAATTTTACATCTTCAGCCATCAGGAATATTTTTGAGGTTTCTAGGAGATTTGAGTTGGGACCAGATGATGCTTTAAGGTGTGTAATGTGTTTAAAAGGTTTAGGGTTTAGTGAGAGTACTGTGGTTAATGTTTTGGAGGCATTTCCCTTGGTGATCATGATGGATGAAGATAGAATTCGCGATAAAATGGTATTCTTGATGGATATTGGTTTTGAAAAAGATGATGTTGATCGTATTATTCGCCTGTTTCCATTTTCTATGGCATTTGAGGTTGGGAAAAAGATGAAACCATTGTTTGATGAATTTGAGGATCTTGGTTTTAGCTTGGATGTGGTTAGGTGGGAGGTCCTTAGAGACCCTCGAGTGCTTGGTATGGAAGTTGGTGAGCTTACACAGTGTTTGAAAATGCTGAGGAGTTTGAAATGTAGAACTGTGATTAAGGAGAATATTTTCCGTATTGGAGCTTTTAGGGCCGGGTATGAAGTGAAAATGAGGGTTGATTGTTTGAGGAAATATGGGTTGACATATAGGGATGCTTTTACAGTGTTGTGGAAAGAGCCAAGGGCACTCCTGTATGAGATAGTGCACATTGAGAAGAAAATTGATTTTCTTCTGCAAACTATGAAATTTGATGTTTTCTGTCTGGTTCAAGTTCCAGAGTACTTGGGGGTAAACTTTGAGAAAAAGGTTGTGCCCCGATACAATGTGATAGAATATTTGAGCTCAAGTGGTAGGCTTGGGGATGAAGTAGGATTGAGGGGCTTGATTAAGCCTAGTCGGTTGAGGTTTTACAATCTCTATGTGAAGCCTTATCCAGAGTGTAAGAAATTATATGGGAGATATGCAGCAGCTGAAGTTAAAAGTAGGCATCCAGCTGGAATGTGGAAGCTTTTCCAACCACAAAAGCATTCAGAATCTAGAGAAGATGTTGAAAACATCAGGTCTTTCATGGAGTCTATAACTTAGTTCAAGGTTTTGTATGATTTCCCAGACAAATGCTAGGGAGAATACTAGTTGTATATCAGTTTAAGGTATATCAGTTTTCCATGTCATTGTTTCTGCAAATAATCTGATATAACCATTTGGAATTGATTTTTCACCATTTTCTTTGATTAACTAACTTATGCTTCTGCTGTTAGGCTTGATATTGATCAAGAATACAAGTTAATAGAAAATATGGTCTGAAAGAAAATCATTGTCACTATGATTCAACTTCTTCAAGGAAAAGACTTCAATGTCTTCAAATATTGCTTTCTCCTCTAGCTGATTTACTAAGACAAATGGATCATTCCATTGCACTCAGGTGTCATGCCACACTGTAAAAAAGAGCTAATCTTGCCTTTCATTGTTTTGTGAACTTTTCTCAGAGTTAGGCTTATCGTTTCAGTTCAGTAGATGATTGGATGTGGGAGGCACTGTGCTTATATCATGAAGATACTTCCTGTCATTGCAGGTCAGTGCTGTTTTGCTTTACTGGAACTGAAGTTGGGTTGCTATTAAAAAAGACGATGTGCTATCAAACTGACTTTCTTTCTGGTTAAGAGTTATATTTTCAATGACACACTGATTGCCAAGATGTAATTTAATGTGACAGTGCTCTGTTATGTCAACACTCACACACACACATAATATCAAACAGCTATTGCTGATCGAACAATTCAATTGCTCTTTGTCTGTGTGCATGTGGAGCTGTATATATCTTTGGTTTATGATTCCAGAACTTGGAAACTGTTCATTTGTGAAGGCTTCTTGGGTGTGTGGATTAAGTTAAATGGGATTGACCTTAATATTTGTTCTTTCTGGCAGTTGTAGGCATCAGTGCTATCCAAATGCAATGGTCTTTTTACTCGAGTGCTTGTCATTTTAGACAAGAACTTCCAGCTTCTGAAGTACTAAATGTTGATCACCTTCAAGAAATAATTGTTGCATCATTTTGCAAGGTTATTGAGATCGTGCAATTTAAAAAAAAATAATAAATAAACTGCAGATAAAGAGATGTAGAGAGAGCAACAGAATATGAAAAAGGGGGAAGGTGAAATATTTGATAAACAATAATCTGATACCTTTTTTGGTTGTAGCCAATTAGGCTTGATTAGTCATGGTTGAGACAGGAAAAAATAAGGATTGAGTTTTTTTTTTTCCTGCTGCTGCTTATTATTCTTTAAATGCTCAACTGGGTTTGGAGGTTTCTGAGCATGTGTGAAGACTATTTGGAATCATTTTCTGAAATTTACATTTTTTTGGAATTTTTTATTTAGAATTAATTGTGTATTGTGGTGGTGATTTTTTTGTTTTTTTTATCATACTTCTTATGACACTTACTTTTTACCCAACTACAATGTTGTAGGGAGATATATTATCTATTTTGCTCTTATTTTGATATGTGGCCTCTAATTTAACAATTGTCCTTTTTGTAAATTGTCTTTTGTTCTCTTTTGATCATATATCATTGGTCTGCTTGTCTTGGCTTTCTTTCCACCAAAGGTCATTGGCCTTTCATTTCCCACCTTTCTGTGGAGTGGATAACAATATAAAAATTTGGTCAATAATAGTTGAAGTGCTGATATTTTCCTGAGTGTTCCTAAAATTTAGGCTTCATGTCAACTAATCAATCATATTTTTGCAGGTTTACAAAGTTTTTTAGTTTCAGAAATTTAGCATGATCCATTTATAGTATGGACATTATTGGCCTAACATAAGACATAAATAAAGGAAGGTATGAAATCAATATACAGCTACTGGTTTCATTAGACAGTGGAAACTATTGTAGTACATGCTATCATCTGTGTACAGATATTTTTTTCCTCATATTCATTAATCTTGTGATGTATCTTAGCAGGGCAATCAAATAATATTCAGCCAAACTGCCAGAGAATAGTTACTCATGATTGCTGAGGTTAGTTTCCAACATGAAGTGTGAATGAAATGCAAAAAATGTTTATCACTTACTTTAGCTCTTTTTAGATATGACTGGTCGCAAGAGAGAAATTACAGTCAGTTTTCTTTGTTTTGGTTGTTTGCTGAGTCACTCCCAATGTTAATTTTTTTCTTTGTTTTAGTTGTTTGGTGTGTTGCCATTATCACCAGTGAAGTTGGACCTGCTGACTGCCTCAAATATTCTGTTCTCCTGAATTTTAGTTTAATTTGGTTGCTCTTATGAAAACTGATAGCGTATGTATATTGCCAAAAAATACAAAGCAATTTTTTTCCCTTAATTCGGAGAAAGTTATCTGTCTGAAGTTAAGTGGTTGAGTTTTTGTTGCATTTGGGGCATAAATATTAAGTCCTCGAGACAAAACCACAATCACATCTGTCTATGTTTACAATAATTGGTTGGAATAATTATGTAAGAAAATTGGTAGATCCCAGTTTAAGTTTAAGATAGGTGAGGGAGCATAATGTAAGTGTTCGGTTACTTAAGTGGGATTGCTTTAACTAATGAGCTCTTATGATTCACTTGAAGATAACGTTGAGGATGAGTTGTTTAATGCTATATTTGTCAGTGGGGATTATGTTACTTTGAGGTGGATGGTTGGTAATAGTAGTTATTTGGACCAGGATATGATGATAATGTGCAATCATAAGGTATTTATAAATCTGGAAAATATTTTTTTCTGGATTATATATAGTTTAATGTTTGCTTCATGATTTGGCCAGGCAGAAAATTGGTGAAATTTGATAAATGATTCAACTTGTCCTTGTGTATATCATTGTGCGTTTTTATGGTAAGAAGTTGAATTTTTTGTCATAAATATGTATTGCATTGCACAAGGAAGAAACTGTTTCATGAACCATTTCTTACCAGTGAGGTTTAAAACCAAAATCGTTACCTTGTATGCTATATCTTACTAATTTTTTCTTTATCACCTAATGGAATTGGTCCATTATGTTCAGGTAGTACTTGAGGGACCTAATATTCCGTGTTTTTTTCAAACTAATTTTTAGTGTTTGGATTACTTTCTGGGGTTTCAAAAACTTTTGCTATATGTGATTCCTGTTGATTTTTAAGGTGTGCATGCGAGAAGAATTCGAGTTATTGGAGAAGTAACATGTAATGATCGCTGCTCATGGGAACCTTTGGGATCAGTCATAATGTATCTTGACAAAGCTAACTTCCCAAGAGGTGAGGAGTCAAATTGATTGGAATTGTTAACATGTTGTCATTATCTTAATTTTGTACGGTTTAAGAGACATTTGAGCCTTTCCATTATCAGGTTATATAGGTTTGGAACTTTCTACTGGTACACCCATGCTTTACGAATTCGAGGATGGAAGCCTAATTCAAAAGGGAAACCCAGAGGCACCAATGCTGGGGTTCATGCTTAACACTAGGTATGCAGTTTTCTAATAAGAGGAAAAGAACGAAGAAAAATAAGGTTTCTAATAGTTATTTCCTTTTTTTTTCATTGTATCCTGTAATGATTAAAGATATCAGCCACTTATGAATTTACACTCAAAGTAATGTTGACAAATTTTTTTTTTTAAATTGTGCATATTTCTCGTTTTTGTGTGCTCACCAGTATGTATGGTGTGTATTACTTGAAGTGGAAAGATACATAGATTTGTGTTTTTTTGGCTCCTTTCTGTAGATGTCAGCATGTTTGAGTGATGTATCCTTTCACCCTATTCCATTCGTATTTCCAGATTTTGAAGGAATTAGCTGTTGTATCTTCAAATTTACTCTATTTGGATTAAGAAAGTAATTTTTTTTCTCTTCAAATTATTGATTTAAAAGCTTGTTGTTTTCTTCAATCAACAGTGAGTAATGAATGTACTTCAACTTCAGAAAGAACAAGGCAGGGACGCTATTTGAAGATCAAATGAAGCTGCAAAGAGCTCTCTATAAAATGAGATGATTGACTTTGATTAGTGAGAGAAGTCGGCCTTGAAGAGTGACTCAGAATCATGTGTCAGTATGTCATACAAAGGCTAATTCAGCAGCATTTTTGTGGCAATATAGCTTTTGTTTGAGCAAGTAATGAGACAAATTCACTGAAATTCTTTGAATGCCAGCAAAAATGAGGCTACATCTTTACCAAATGGTAACTGTTGGGGAGACTTGTCCACTTCAGTAACTGCAGAAAATGTGTGTATGTTTGTCTTGTTTTGTTTCTTAAGTGCTGGAACTGGTGGATGAAGCTGTAGATGCCGTAGGAAGAGTGGATAGATTTCTTGTTTGTCAATTTCCAATTTATTTTCTTGTAAGATTACAAATAGTTTCTTATATGATATTTATGCTCTTATGAGTGTTTATTTTGTACAAAACAAAGTAGAACCAGGAAATAAGAGAGGTTCTTGATTGGTGGAAAAATAACCATTATGGTTTTGATCTTATCAATATTTATTTTAAGCCAACAACTCATTAATCATGTTGCATGAGTCAGTCAGGCATTTTATGACGAGTATATGTGCTCAGATAGGAATGTAAAAAGTTTTTTTGTTATCGGGTGCGATTTATGCCTCCTAGCTGCTCCATTCAATGTGAAGTACATTGGTTATAATTTTGGTCTCCACGCAATTATCCCTTCATACACGAACACAATAACCAATAAATTTGAGCATTAGTCAATTTTGTTAATCATATGATAGATCTGATGTCTCAGGAGATAGTTATCATGAGATTAAGTGTAGTTTACTCCTTTTTAAAACAAATGAAGATGGAGCAAAGACACTTCATGAGATTAAGTGTAGTTTACTCCTTTTTAAAACAAATGAAGATGGAGCAAAGACACTTCATGATGGGTGATGCTATGAAGTCATTAATCATTCCTTTTCAGGATGTTTCAAACCTTTTCAAGTTTCGCGTGCACAGAACAACTTAAACATCATTTAAATTCTTTGGAATGAGGGAAATCAGGAATATGCTAGAATCCAAATGAAGTTAAAATGATAGATCTTTACATAAGATACTAGCAATTGTATTGGCATTTTCGACCTTGATCAATTGTGTGAAGGTTATAATGTCTACATATTTGTAAATTAATTTCACGAATAGTGTGCCATCATATTGTGTTGGTTAGACATCCGAAAACTAGATCTCGGCCTTGGGTCCTTGTAGTTGTCTCTTGACCAATGCTGTGTAAATGCCATTCCTACTTAACAGCTCATCGTGAGTTCCACTTTCAACTATCTGACCATCAGAAACCACTGCAACTGTGTCCGCACTTTTTACAGTTGAAAGCCTATGAGCTATGACAAGAACTGTCCTTCCCTTCATTAGTGAATCCATGGCGTCCTACATAAAGCATCACAATATTCAGGGTATACAGTTTGAGGAAGCTCATGATTTTAGAGAAGAAATACATCAAGCTTTTCGCATCAGACCTGAACTAGGTATTCACTTTCGGCATCCAAAGCACTGGTAGCCTCGTCCAAAAGTAGAATTCTTGGGTTCATCAGCAGAGCTCTAGCAATTGCAATTCTCTGTTTCTGACCTCCTGAAAGCCGTACTCCACGTTCTCCCACATCGGTTTGATATTTGTCAGGAAAATTACATACAAATTCATGTGCATTGGCCATTTTCTGCTCAGTATATAGAAAGACAATCAGCAGACATATATAAGCCAGTCCCAGGCCATGAGGCATCTGAGGTGGAACTACTTACTGCTGCATTTTCTACATCAGCACTGCTGGCTTTTCCATCCAGACCATATGCAATATTCTCTTCAATAGAACAGTTGAAAAGAACAGGTTCCTGGCTGACTATGCTAATCTGTACTTTCAACAATGCATGACAATTTTACTAAAACCCACATGAATGAATTGGAAATTGTATACAGATGTTGTCTATTGAGGTCCAAATGTCCAAGAGTTGTCTTCTCAATTTGATAAGGGACATCTCAATCCACGAACAGTGGTGAAGTGATTATTTCCTTCACACTTGAAGAGGAGCAGTTTAGAAGTTAAATTACCTTTCTATGTAGATGCTGGTGGGCTATTTCTACCAGAGGAACCCCATTCAACAAAATTTTTCCTTGAACAGGGTCATAAAACCTTTCAATCAAGTTCGCTATTGTTGTCTGCAGCATAGAAAGAGAGAGAAAGTGGTGAATATGGTATTTATGGTGCATATATTGGACTTTTGAATTTTCAATCCAGTTCAAAGTTTGATCTATTATACAGTATACTGCAAGCTTGAGTTATGGGGTGCATGACCAAGAAGTGATACCTTTCCACCACCACTTGGACCAACCAGTGCAACCTTTGAACTGGGTTGCAGTTTCAAAGTTATTCCCTGAGTTCAGAATGAACAAACTGTAGTAAGGATTATCTTTAGTTTCAATGCTGCTAAAATTCCATCAGAACTCATAATAGGGGAGGCATGATCTACCTTGAGGACCATATGCTTAGGACGGGATGGATAGGCGAACCAGACATCATCCAGTTCCACTTCTGCATCTTGATCACTACGATAGGAAAATTAAATAAGATAAAGTTTAGCATCTTCAGCCATAGTTGAATAAGATAATAGTAATGTGACTAAAGAAGCACACTTGGCTGATATATATTTGGACTAGCAATTAGAGAAGTTAATTATGAACTAAGGAACATCGTAAAGAAGCAGAACAGGAGGGGAAGAATCTGAAAACAAGATAGATATTGCATGCATATAACTAAAAGGAGGAAGTACCATAGGAGCATTTGTGGTGATTGTTATAGAGGAGAAAATACTGCATTTGAGTGGCAGATGAGTATCTAAGGGAAAACCATAGCAGTTTCTACCTCTTTCAAATGCTCTCTGCCTTTTTTAACAAAGGTGTAAAAAGGAAAAATCTTGGACTTCAATTGTAAATTGCTAACTTGTTGCACCTTGAAATATAGAGGATTCCGAAGGGCTCTAATGCAAATTTAGCTTTCACCCAAGATCTATAGGATTTCAAGTCCTGTGCTCAATATTCTCTGTTCTATACTTTGATTTTTTCTAATAAAAGGGGGATAGCATCAAGTTGTAATGCACTTGACATATTTGTATTACTTCCTATTACTTATGCATGCTAGGTGAGAAAATGACTTTGTGCAGTCTGAAATGTTTTATAAGGAAGTACACATAATGAAGGAGTCAGTAAAATGAAAATGATTTTCAAACTCAGTCAATTCTTTTTGAAAGCATAGCTAAGAGATATATTCGTGAAAGCTACAACTCCTTTTTCTACATGGAAAATGACAATAATCCTTCTATCCCACACTTGAGCTTCTTCTGAGAAAGTAAAAGATGAGCAACTAAGTAAAGAATGAAGTATCAAATGTTGGACTGACCCCAATGGACACTTGTTTCCTGATTTTGGCATTGATGAGACACGATCCAAAAGCTGAAAAACCCTCCTACTTGCTCCTGCAGCTTTCATAGCTACTGTGTACAATCCAGATAGTCCAGATACAGAAGATCCAACTGCAAGTTGTAAGGAGTAAACCATGTCAACAGGAAGTTCCATATTTGCTTGTGTAAGAAAGATTTTGCTAATACTTCCATTATAAAGAAATGCTTAAAAGGATGAAAAAATAGCACAGATCACCACTGCATGCTTAATATAAGTGGAGGCAGGGCATTACCAGTTAAGCTATAAAGGATGAATGAAGTAAGATCCCCGGGACTCATAGAACCTTTGATTGTTAGAGTGGCTCCATATATCACTACAACAATGACAGAGAGTGTTGATGCAGCATTTAGACTTCCAAAAAACAGACCAACAGCCTTCTGCACCCGAAGCACAAGATACTATAATGAGTCTTGCAATCCTAATATTTATACAACATCGCTATATAATTAATCTGGCAGAGAAAGAGACTATTCTTTTCTCTCTAACTCCTTAAAAATACACAAGCGCTCTAATCTACTTGTAAGCCATGTCCTTCTTATGAGTATAACTCATTAATCTATCACAGAAAGCATCTTCAATTTGTCTATAGTTGAAAAGAAAGCATTGGGGGAACTTACTGCCTGTTTGAGTCCAAGCTGTAGTGTCTCGTCTACTTTCTCTGAGTAGCGTGACATCTCAAAATCTTCCTGAGCAAAGGATCTAACCGTACGTATGGCACCAAATGTTTCCTGAACAAAACTCAAGAGATTCTCAGGGAAAAAATGGGAGAGGACAAAAAGTGGTAAGTTTCTCAGGGCATGGAATCTCAAATAACCTGTGCATCTATTGACTAATTAACACATTTGAGTCCATTGATATTATAGGTTTTTACCAAATTAAGTAATACTTGGAGCCTATCGCTGATGAAAACTGAACCTAACAAACAGTCAAAGGTCCTTGTTCCTGGTCTTACAAACTCACTCCCCCTCCCTCTTACAAAGCTTAAAAAGAATTTCTTCATTGAGAATGGTAACTACTAAGAGCAGTTAAACATAGGACATAATGTAAGATTTTAGATCCCCTACCAGTTTATATCAGCTGAAGGTGCAATTTTGGGTAAAATACTTGTGTGCCTCCTCGCTCATGTACTCCTTAGTTTGACTTGCTAACTTCATTTTTCAAGATTTTTGAGGTCTTTTGTATTTCTAAAGGTGAATTTTTAGTAATGCAACAACCAGATGAAACAGAGACTTCTGTATCACAAAGTTCCAGTTTCCTGATCAACAGTTCAAAACAGCATAAAATTAATACAAGGTTAATGACAGTTGTATCCCATTTATTCAATAAGTTTGTGATACCACTGTCTCTGACCTCATATCAACTTCATATGAAGTTTTGAAGTGTTCATGGGGAAACTAGAACTTTGTTGTACAGCAGCCTAATCTGGTAGTTGTACGATGAAAATTTAAGTCAGTATATGAAGCACTGTCAAGGCTTTAGTGTGTGCAACCTTGGAGTTGTTCCATAATCTGGTAGTTTACAACATTATTTAGTGGATTGGTACTAATGCTGAATGCACTAACCTCAGCAATTGAGGAAGCTACGGCAGCAGCAGCTTGAGTCTTGTGAGAAAGTTCACGAAGATAGCGGCCAAATTGACGCACTGCAACAGATATGAGTGGAACAACGGCCAAAGCCAACACTGAGACACAAAGGAGTAAACACAAAGTATGCTAACATGTTAGAGTTTAACAAGAAGAATTAAGTCTATTGAAGTATGCATAAGATATGGCTAGACTTACAAGTCAACTTCCATGATGTTGTCAGCATGAATCCAAGACCTATAAATGCTGTAGAAAGATTCCTCAAAGCTTCTGAAAGGTTGGTAGTGGCAGCATTCTTTATGATCTGAGTATCTTCAGAAAGCCTACTTAGGAGCTCTCCAGTACGAGTAACATCAAAAAAAGCTATCTCCTGGTAAGTTTATAGGAAATGTAAATTGAGTTTATTGGCAAGTAAACAAAGGAGAATGTCACATGTCTGGGATCCATATGATTAAGAAAGAATCAGTAATTGGCCTTCGATAGCTGCTCTGACCTGGTAAATGAGGTGGCTGAACAAGTTCTTTCTCAACCTAGCAACAACCCTTTCACTTGCAGAAGAGAAGAGCCATGCTCGAACTGCTGTGCAAACTGACCTGAAAAGCGCAGAACAATATTGGAGATGGTATTGTTACTAGAATCTTTTGCTTCAGTTGGAAATATTACATTCTTTAAGCGATAATCTTGTCCCACAATATCAGCATTTTGATACAGATATATTAATCCCTTAAATTATTGTCTATGGCAGTCAGAAAAATGCAAAGCCACACTTAAAAACTGCAGGATTCAATTATGGGCATAAAAAACAAAAGCTTTATGCAATCTTGAAAGTGAACAATAAACCCAAAAGGCAATGAATAATACCCAACAATGACTATTAGAAATATATCTAATATGGTATTCTTGACAGCTTCTAAAGCTCGAGATTTCTGTTCAGGTGTATGGAGATCACCAGACACGATATCAATGATTTTCCCCCCAAACTTCGGCTGCAGATGAAATATTTTAAACAATGATAAAGCAACCAGATGATATCTTAAATGGTCAATTTGAGAGACAATAGATAGAATCTGTGCTCACAATCAGTATGCTTGATGTCGATGCAATCAAAAGAGCAACTGTGCCAATAATCAAACTCCCTGCTTCAGGCTTTGCCTGCGAACAGCCAAGTTCTTAACAACTTGTCAAGAATCCAATAAATCTATGAGATTTTACCGGCAAACATTATTGACTTACTAGTGAAAACACTCTAAGGAATCCGACATTTGCGGGCTGAATTTTCAGATAACACAAAAATGGTTAGCTTGATTATTAGCCATTGCTCTTAGCAAGAAGGCGTCATGATCCAGCACACAACTATTATTGTAGAATGGAACTTTTGAATCTTGATTACCTGCACTGCATCTCCATGCTCAAGGTCTGTCAACTGACCATTTTCCTGATCATTTTTCCCTTTCTCTGCCTAGTGTTGGCACAAAAATGAACGAATAAACAAAAGAAATCACCAAGATAATGTATACGCCCATCTATTAAGGCAAATGTTTATGCAGATCGAACATATCCAATAATCCTCATTCCATTACCGAAATAAATTCTTCCGTTTGACTTGGTTATATATCTCTTACTCTTAATCTTTAGCTATTTCAACGGTCTAAACAACAGAATTGCTTAATGACTGTCCAGAAAAAAGTGCTTAATAAGCTGAACCATAAAAGGATAAAGAAATTGAACAAGCTAAAGAAACGAGAATTAAACAGTATAAACTGCAAAATTTAAGAACCCAATAAGAGTTTAGCTGCCAAATTATCTTATTTGAAAGAATCCATCGAAAATGGTTAACTGGAAACTCACATGTTTGTTTAAAAGTGGAGTTCTTCCACCTTTAAAGCCATGCCCATGCATCCCACCAGAGAAGCCGTCCATCAATTTGCTTCTCAGCTTCTTCCTGTTAAACAGAAGATGGGGAGATGCGACTCGGTTAGACTTGACTAGGGGGCATGAGTCGTTGGCGTACCAGGAAAAGGTGATTTACCAACTCCTAAAGAGTGGGGAGTGGGGAGTGGGGACTAAATTCCAAAAGTTGGCTAGTCACTACCTTCAAATGAGGGATACGGGGCAGGAGAGGACCGCTCCTGAACGGTCCCCTCACAAGCTTCAAGGAATGGAGCAAAATAAGCCACGTCAACTGGTTGTGTTGAAGGAAAAAAACGTCACCGTTTGACGAAAGAAAAAAAATAAGATTGACGGACTCCGTTTCCTCTAAACGGAAGATTTGAAATTTTGAAAATGAAGTTGAAAATTTGAATTAGCCGCACAAAACAAAACCGAGAGAAGAAAGCAAGCTGGGTATGTCATTGTTGCTTGGCTGACGTGAAATTAGGTGGAGAGAGTTGGGTTATGGCATCAGAAGAAGAAGGAAGAAGGCAAACAGTTAGAAAGCTGTAAAAGAAGGCCAACGATCTCTTCAGAAATTGTATGAGCAATGCGGGCAAGACAGGCGGCAAGGTAGAAGCGAATTAAAGAGGAAATTCATTATTTGACGTTGCCCACCATTTTTTGTGCAACTTAATAGCAGAAGCAACTGTGTATAAGGGCATTCGGTGAAACAAAAAGCTGTCAACGGGCCAAGGTAACGTGATTCAACCATATCAACAACTTTGTGAAGCTTATACCAGCAACTTTTCTGAATGTTAGATTCAGTAAAGACATAATATGAAGATAATAGAAGAATAGTCAATGTGTACTGTATGTGTGTGTGAGACCGTGCAGTTTTGCAGTGATGAACTATTTAACAAGTGAATGAATGTACATGCTGCTGTAGATAAGTTACAGGTTATAACCACCCTATTACAATCTTTGTGCATCCACTAGTATTGGTCCATGGTCATCACGCAATCTTAGTTTGCCCCTCTGTTGAGTATGCAGTGTGTATAAAATGGAGGTTTGGGGTTTGACCTAGGAAAAGCAGAGGAAAAGATATATGTGAATAATAAATAGATGTACCTGGTTTTGTAAGTAAATTACATGATGTAAGAAATGTATTAGAATGAGTAAAAAATGCTTGTTTGGCCCTGAAAATGTAGAAATAGTAGAAAATGCACAGGAATTGGCTTAGGCGATTGTCAGTAACGAATTACATAACGTCCAATGAAACAAAGTACCTAGAACCTAAATATAATCACCAGAGTGGATGTACATATAGTTAAAATAGACTTACATGGAGTGAAAAACACATTACAGTCCGTATAACTTAGTATACATGGAGTTATATTTGTACATAGATAATGCCATTGTATTAGAGTAAAAGTAAAGTGATGTGAATCATTAATCATATCGATGGGAGTAATAATAGAATTTGGTATACGAGTAATGTGTGTAACATAACATATTATAAACGGTAATACACACTTATGTTGTCGTTTACATACATACTATTCATGAACTATTGTAAATTATGGTGTTGGATGCATAATTGGTGGGAGCAGAAGTAATGAATTGTAGAGAAATTGGCAGAAGATGGGACTCATGAGTTAGGAATGGAGTTCAACATGGAAGAGGATGCGTACAAGTTTTACAACAAATATGCCTTTAAAATGGGATTTAGTGTACGCAAAGACTATTTAAATAAAGACAAAGACTATTTAGTCTATTTTATGCGGTTGTCATTAACGAATGACATAAGGTCCAGTGAGCTAAAGAATCTAGAATCAAAATATAATCACCAGCGTGGATGTACATACAGTTAAAATAGACTTACATCGTGTGACCAATACATTACAATCCGTATAAGTTAGTGTACATGGAGTTGTATTTGTACACAGATTGTCTTAGAGTAAAAGTAAGGTGATGTGAATCATTAATCATATTGATAGCGTAATAATAGAATTTGGTATACGAGTAATGTATGATTCATAACACATTATGAATGGTAATATACATATATGTTGTCGTTTATGTACATACTATTCATGAAATGTTGCAAATTAGGGTGTTTGATGCATAATTGGCAGGATCAGAAGTAACGGATTGCAGCAAATTGGCAGAAGATGGGACCCCTGAATTAGGAATGGAGTTCAACAGCGAAGAGGATGCGTACCAGTTTTACAACAAATATGCCTTTAAAATGGGTTTTAGTGTACGTAAAGACTATCTGAATAAAGACAAAGACGGCGTGACCACGTCTAGAAGATATAGTTGCTGCAAGGAAGGTGTAAAGCGCAAGTACGAAGGTGATGTGATGCCAAAGAGGACACGAGCGCCGACGAAAACAGGGTGTGGAGCTAAAATGGTTATCGTGTTGTTTAGAGGAACAATGAAGTACCGTGTGCATGACATTGTCTTAGAGCATAACCATGAGTTGCACATTGTTCAATGTGCGCACATGATGCCATCACAAAGAAAAGTGAGCGAGGCTCAAGGATTCCAAGCTGAAATAAGCGAGGACGCTGGGCTTTCATTGAAACAGAGTCATGAGCTTATGGAAAAGGAGGCAGGTGGGATGGGAAATGTGGGATATACTCGGGAAGACCTGAAACGATATCTTCGTACTCGACGGGAAAGGAGTTTGAAATATGGAGAAGCAGGTAGCATGCTGAATTATTTTCAAGAGCAAACACTCGAGAATCCATCGTTTTTTCATGCTGTACAGCTGGACTGTGAAGAGCAGATAACGAATATCTTTTGGGCTGATGCAGGAATGTTAATTGACTACAAATTTTTTGGAGACGTAGTCACATTCGACACAACCTACAAAACAAATAAAGAATACCGGCCACTTGGAGTGTTTGTGGGTTTTAACCAACATAGGCAAATTGTGATATTCGGTGCTGCCCTTATGTATGATGAGACTATAGATTCTTTTAAATGGGTATTTGGTACATTTCTAGAAGCAATGTGCGGAAAGCGTCCAAGTACCATACTAACCGACCAAGATCATGCCATGGCAGCCGCTCTTTCAGTTGTTATGCCTGAAACATTTCACGGTCTATGTACGTTTCACATAAGGCGTAATTTTATGAAACATCTTGGCAATCACTACAAGGAAAATAGTGATCTTCCATACATGTTTGGTGCATGCATGTATGAGTTTGAAGAAGTGGAACAATTCAATAGGGTGTGGGAGACGATGGTGAAGAAACACAATCTTGAAAATAAATGAATGGCTCTCCGGGTTGTACAGAATTCGTGATAAATGGGCAAGGTGCATGATGAAAGAAAGATGGACCGCGGGAATGCGAAGCACCCAACTTAGCGAAAGCCTAAATGCAGCAATTAAAAACCATTTGAAACTGGATCATGACCTTGTGCAGTTCTTTAGACATTTCAATCGGGTGGTTGATGAAAAGAGACATAATGAACTGATCGCAGAATATGAAATGAGGCAAAAGCTCCCCATGGTCGGGTTAAGGCAAACACCTATGCTCGTGCATGCATCAGAGACGTATTCACCAACCGTATTTGTTGCATTCCAAAATGAATATGGCGAGTCAACAGCTATGGTTATATTGAGACAGCAAGATGCAGCGATGATTGTGGAGTTTGCGGTCATGAGGTATGATGGAGGACCTGAAAGAATAGTGGTATTCAATCGGAATGATCTAAGTGTACGTTGTAGTTGCAAAAAATATGAGAATGAAGGCATTTTATGTGGGCACGCGTTGAAGGTGTTTGATACTGTGGGCATAAAAATAATTCCTCCTGAATACATTAAGAGGCGATGGACAAAAAGAGCTCGGGCTGGAGACTGTTTTGATCGGCGAAGACGGGAAGTTGTGGCTGATCCTAAAATAATGATTTCAACTCGTTATCGGGAGCTCGCTCCAGCCATGATTAAGGTCGCAACTCGAGCAGCAATGTCGGAAGACACCAGCAAAGTAGCAATCACTGTCATATCCGATTTGGCAAAGAGAGTTGAGCTCCTCCTCTCAGAAAGTGAAGAGCAACCTTTGCAAAATCAAAAAAATCTGAATATGGAGGAACGGGATAAAATTGAAATTGTGAATGAAATGGGGGAGGCAGTAGTCGCAAGAGGCATTAAAAAACGAGGTGGTGGGAAGAAAAGTAGAGTGATGCGAAGTTGGATCAATAAATTTGACAGAGTAAAAAGAAAATCTAGATTATCAAGGACTACACAGACTACGGTATGGATCAAATTTTGGTACTCGGGGAACATTTATGCTAAAACTAAGTTATCGTTATGCTATTAACTAAAGTTTAGGTATCATTCATGATGAAATAATATTATTGCCGTGTCAATACTGTAGGTCTCAGAATCGGAGCCGACATCGGTTTCAATTGAGGAATACATGTTTATGGGATGTCGTTCATCTACTGACTCTGTTTCGGTTAGTATAAAACGGACATGACCGTTGCTTTTATTTGGATGTTTCTAACAGCATCAATAGTTACATTGATCTTACATTGTGTGATAATATTGTTACGGCTGTCATCCCTCCTGATATACCTATTTTGATTGTCTTATACAATGATTTGGTCCATACGAAACTCGTAGACGCATTCAATGAGCCAGACAGTGAATGGCCCTCCAAACGCTATTGCTCCGAATATCGATGAAAGTGAAACGGTATGTATATATTTATTAGTTAAAATAAAGACCTTCTTATTCGTGTAGTAGAGCTACCTTTTTATTAGGGTTAATATCAGAAACCTCCCTTGAAGTTTCTTCTAATCACACCTAGAACCCCTCATGTTTTCGAAATCACACTTAGCACCCCTGAAATGACAACTTTGGTATCATTATCAGCCCCTCATTATTTTTGTAATCAGTTTTACCCTCCTTGTGAACTCTATTTATGTAACTCACATCCCTCCAACTTTTGTAACACTACAAAATCGTTCTTAAGTAGTGTAACATGTTTTGAACATTTTGTAATTTTATGTAAGCTTGTTGTACATCTTTATAATAGATTGTGTTTCTGTTATTAAGTTTAACAAATAATTCACATAAAGTTACACATTGTTTAAAAAATGTTACATTGATCTGAACGGTGATAAAAAAAATGTGACTATGGATTCTCATAAAGGCAGCAATAGTTTCAATATGTGATTGTAGTTGTAAATAAACTTGCTCTTCCCCTTTTTACGAAAATGAGGTCGTATAAATAGCTTTTTGTGCATCCTAATCGAATGAAGTTTGTATGTTATTAATATTGCGATACCCTATTATCAAGTAAAAATGGATTGCTAATGCTATATACTCATGAATTCCCATCATCTTTAAACCTCTTTTAGATAATGTTATTATTCACTTAGAAATTGCAATTTTGGCAATGGCACTATGTCCATTGCCAAAAGTCAACATCACTGGAAACTCTATAGCTATTTAATAGTAGGGAGTGGGATAGGAACAATTGTTAGATCAACCATCCCTAAATCGTGTAACATTTTTTGAACATTTTGTAATTTTATGTAAATTTCTTGTACATCGTTACAATAGAAGTCTGATAAGTTGTTAGTGTACATATGAGTCCAATATGTAATAATCGTATTTGTGTTGATAAATTTTACAAATAGTTTAATTAGAATTACACTTTGTACAAAAAATATTACATAATTACATAATAATTTTACATAATTTAGGGAAAACCTCAAGGGAGGTTTCCGAAATTAACTCTACATAAATAGAGTTCACCATTGCGGGTAAAAGTGGAATAAAAATAATGAGGGGCGGACAATGATACCAAAGTTGTCATTCCAGGGGTGCTAAGTGTGATTTCGAAAACATGAGGGGTTCTAGGTGTGATTAGAAGAAACCTCAAGGGAGGTTTCTGATATTAACCCTTTTTTATAGTATTGTAATGGTGGGCACCCGAAAGCTGTAAAATCATGCAAATTATGTAGTTAACGTATGCTCGCTTTAATAACATATTATTTTTTATTATTCGAAGGTTCACCGTTTGGCTAATCAGGGGCCTCCTACAAGTGTCCCTACACAATGGCTGCATCCCAGATTTTCTATTTTTTCCAAGTATAACTCCGTAAGAGATGTCTTAATGGTCTGATATATCATTTTTATTATAATGTCTAGTCCAATTTAACTTTTTAAGTGAGCAATATAGGGATTGGTAATGATTTGTTGACTGTCGATTACTTATACTATGTAATGTAGGAGGAGCGTGCAGCACTTTTAACACACTGTGATGTTGATGCATATCATGTATTTGCACCTTCACCCCAGGTGATAAACTTTTATCGTTACAGCACATATTTGTGTACTGTTGTTAATTGGAGACTTGGATATCGTATATCATTAATCGTATGTTTCATTAATAATATTGCTGATTTACCATCGTTACGCATTTCAGGGAAGAAATAACACCCAGGGATTGCAACTTCGCGCTGACGTCGCCTCCCCCGAGAATGAGATTGATGAATGATGTGTAACTATATTTTGCGAACGAGACATTAAATGGTTGTCCCAACTTAGGAATACTGCATATGTACGTGTTACAAGCAGTTAATAGGGTGTTACAACTTATTGACGAGGTTGTACAGGCAGCATTGATATTTCACTCTTTTCAAATTTAGACAAGTGGATTACAATTGTAATCACATCTAGTGGTAGTAATCATCAATAGTTTGTATTGGGTTATATATAGTTTGTAGTAATCATCAATAGTATGTAATGTAGGAGGAGCGTGCAGCACTTTTAACACACTGTGATGTTGATGCATATCATGTATTTGCACCTTCACCCCAGGTGATAAACTTTTATCGTTACAGCACATATTTGTGTACTGTTGTTAATTGGAGACTTGGATATCGTATATCATTAATCGTATGTTTCATTAATAATATTGCTGATTTACCATCGTTACGCATTTCAGGGAAGAAATAACACCCAGGGATTGCAACTTCGCGCTGACGTCGCCTCCCCCGAGAATGAGATTGATGAATGATGTGTAACTATATTTTGCGAACGAGACATTAAATGGTTGTCCCAACTTAGGAATACTGCATATGTACGTGTTACAAGCAGTTAATAGGGTGTTACAACTTATTGACGAGGTTGTACAGGCAGCATTGATATTTCACTCTTTTCAAATTTAGACAAGTGGATTACAATTGTAATCACATCTAGTGGTAGTAATCATCAATAGTTTGTATTGGGTTATATAAAATTTCCGGAAATTATAAAGTTGGTAGAAAATTGAAGTAACAATTTTACAATAGAATTGAACGTGTTTTTTGTGATCGGATATTTTCCACTAAATCGACCATAACAATTGAATGGCTGGCGTGATATGTATACCATTCTACTACATTCAATTGCATACCTTAATGGCCATAATTATTGGCATAGATCGCACCGGCAAAGGTACGATGTATAAGATAACACAGTCTAAAGTATAAATTGTCTTGATTTTGTTACGATGCTAAATTCGAATTATTATTGGGCTATTTTTATTAAAACATTATCATTTAGGCCATTTGTTTTGTATCGATTGACGAATTTAGCGCCCCATTTACATGATGTATCACAAACACATCAATTGGTATTACAAGTTTTTAGGTTAATTGAATTATGCTCAAGCCAGGTCACGACCACATGTTGGTAATAGGTGCGCATAAGAAAATGATTCCTTGGAAAATTAATTTGTAACGTTAAAACGAAGTTTTACAATGTCACAAAAAGGAAGAACGAACAGTACACAATGGGTTACAACCAGTAAGGGATATGTTACTGTTACGTTACAACTAGTTACGACTGTTTAACAGGCATGATTAATATCCAAATATGGTAAGCAATTTGTTTTAGTAGAGATTATAATGAGTATAGTTTTATCGCTACCCTGATGAACATTGGACTACATCCCTTGTTATCAGTTGTATCCCATACAACACCTGGGAACGCCGTCATGCATTAAACAGTGGGGTATGTACCTTTGAAAGTCATCGTCGCTTGATTCAGTAAAGTCAGATAGGTCCGGGTCCGATATAAGCATGGGATCTGCTAAAATGTGTTGAACCATACCATGTCTTTTTGCGGCCTGGATCTCGTGGAACCTGTGAAGCCTACGTTCCATCTGCATAATTTCTCGCTGTAGTCTGTGTAATATGCTTGCATCATTGGCTTGTGGTTCTATAACAAGATCCGCTGACCTTGTTCTCGGGATGCGGATGCCATGCCAGCGACAAAATACCTCTAATTCCATTCTTCGCTCACGAACAGGCTCCCATATGGGTTCATGGTCAATAACGAAATAGCCAGACGGTAGATGATCGTTGACGGTATTTTTAAAAATGTGACCAGCTAGTCCCAGAGAATTGTTGGTGTTAAGTGGAGCGTTCCTGAACTCGCGTTTGGTACCATATAAAATCCTCCCATCTGGTGTTTCATACTTGCTTATGGCATTTGTTGGATCCAATGATACTTTCCGTCTTTTTTGCCGAACATTTGATGGTGAGCTTGTATGAGACCCTTCGTTTGTGGATTGCATGACTACGCTAATACCTACTGCTTTTTGGTTGGATGAAAGGAATGATCTACTGATAAAGAATTAGGTGGGAGAAAAAAAGAGGTAGAAATTTTTAAAGTGTGATAACTAATATTTAAAATGCAACAAATTTTGAAAGGATACTTCGTTGGGACAAGTAATTTGAAAGTGTGATAACTAATATTTAAAATGCAACAAATTTTGATTACTCCATGTACATGTTGAGTTACAACCAGTTATGTATATGTTACAATTGGTATTACAACTAATGAATATGCAAACGGCAGTTTTTCTGATATTACAACTAGTTAATATCCGATGAACCTTTCCTCTTCTCTCGTTTGCGCAATTGCGCTTGGCACAAACAATAAGTCCAATTTATAACACATATAATTTCTTAGACACTTTAGTAAGTGTCCATTTAGAACATAAAAGATGGTCGATTCGAACCCCAAAACAATTGATGTAGCGAGGCCTTCTCGAACATCTCATTAAATTAGCGAGATCTTCTCGAACATCATGCAACCTACTGGCTGCTATTTGGCACCCAAGAGCTTGATTTCTGTGTGAACCCTCTATTGATGACACTGCAATTGAGGTTAGAGGAGGGTTGAAAAATACTAATAATAAATTTCATGCACGGGTTCATTGCCACCCTTCAGTAGAATGAAATAGGAAGTGTGAAGTTATTGAAAATGAAAAATATTTGTGTAGTAATGAAAGGTGGACGGAAAAAAATTGGTGTTGTTGAGGGATATACTACTGCAACCGCGCCCTTTTATAGTCCGCAGGACCCTCACAATGTAGTAAAATATCACTGGACAACGCATTCCAGACCAAACAATTTTGTCGTGGCAGTGGAAGCTGTTGAGTTCGATGCAATTAATTGAATTGTGTCAAATCTGTTCACACAATAAAACAAATTATGACAGCTGGCTCATGAAATGACCTATACACCAATATTGGCGCTCGTGTGGATAAACAGTTACACATCAGTAACGTGTACGTTTCACTATGTACGGATTACGTTACAACCAGTTAGGTGTATGTTACAATTTATTATAACTAATGAATTGGCAATCAGCAGCTTTTCGTCTGCTCTATTTCAAACTGAATAATATTCCAACTAGATATTCCCCGATATTACAACTAGTGATAATACAACTAGTTAATATTCGATGAACCTTTCCTCTTGTCTTGTTTGTGCTATTACCCGTGGCCGAAACGATAATTCCTCCCACTGACACATTAAATTTCTCAGACACTTTATTAAGTATCTAAAATGTATAGTTACGATGATCGTTTCGAACCCCAAAACATTGCGTACCGAGACCTTCTCAAGTATCTCATTAAAATAGTGAGATCTTCCCGAACGCATATGAGGGCAACTAGTACATCACGGGAGAAGAGACTGTAGACCCACATGCAGTGCCTGAACCATGTCGGATAAGTTTTGTTACGTACAAAGCGCCAGATTTGTAGTACCGACAGTGAATATACGTGTTACGTGCTGTTGATAATCGTTTACAGACTTCAACAAATGTTTGCAGCTTTTATCATGTTTTGGTCCTGTACACCAACTTTTTACGAGTCACGTGGAAACAGAGTTACACATTAGATTCATGAACGTTTCACTGTGTTCATACACAGTTACATTGTCACAGGGAGGTATGACAGCCCAAAACAACAGTTTCTTGGCCAAGAGTCAGATGTGTAACACTCTATGGCCTTGGTCAGTGTATGACCCAAATTTACAACCTCTATGAGCGGTTCATACCTTCTTCTACTCCAATGCTCTATAGGGGATTTCAAATTCGACCCGAAATTTTATGTATGTTGTAACGAATGAACACACAATGAGGTAAATAAGAATTTACGAATTGTAACAATATATGAACAGGTTGTCAATCGTATGGACAAAATGTTGAACTATATTTTTAGTATCGATACTCTTAATAAGTGTTACGTCGTGTCACTAATCAGCATCACAAAATCAAATAAATTTTACAGTTTTTATCATGGTAAGATCTGTATTGCAACATCAAGGGTACCGATGTGAATACAAAATCTCAAAATCTGTATTGGAACATCAGTGACCTTAATTTCGACAATGTGCATACACAGTAATACGCAAAACATTGTGCACAAAATCTCACAATGAATGTCAATTTTTACGCCCAGAGTCAGATGTGTAAAACTGAATGACCCTGGTCATTCAATGACCCACAATGTGATGGTACCTGAATAAGCACCTCCTTCTGCTCCTGATGCTTTATTACAGATTTTCAATTTGACAAGTAATTTTATGAATGTTGTAACTTAGGACGAACAAAGCTGTAAGTAAGAACGTACGAATTGTAACAATTTACAATTAAGGTCACCATTTGTGCATCATTATACAATTAATAGTTTCAATTAGTTGGAGTCATTAACACAAAACAATTGAACAACACAAGCGATTTCACATAAAAGAGCAATCATATAACTTCACAAAAAACTTTCAATGTGACTTCACCAGATGCATTCAACTATACGACTGCATCTACTGTTTACTCTATCTTCTAGAGCAACTGCCAAAATGGAAAGTCAACAGTACAAGCACACAAGTGTAACTTTGCCTATAGAGGATACATGTCCGACAAACTACGGGTGAAGTTCACATCATATGGGTCGAAAAATTGAAGGTGTTGTCAGCGATAAATTGCAATTAGGAGCAACAGAAAGGCGACCGCTACCGATATCGTCATGAAGGTTTTCATTTGTCGAATATGTTGTTCGATTCGGTGCACATCATACGGGAAAGAGTTTGGTTCATTTTGCACTGTTTCGGGACTGTCGAAGGAGCTTTCTCTACTTATTGCTTGTCGATTAGGTGAGGGAGGGCAGTAGTTAGCCTGAACTTGCTCATGATTCCTCCCTATTGGATGACACCAAGCGAAAAAAGCACAAGTTTTTCCTTCACAGACGAAGTACAGCAACCCCTTCGTCGGTTTCTGTGACTCCACGATCTTCAGGTTAGCCTTTTTTCCACAGTTACAGTACCGATATTGGTACCTTAATTCGCTACTTCCGCCACCAACATTGATAGATGAAGACATCTAAACCATGTAAAACTCGTTTGGGGCCTATGATTAGAGAATGGGTGAGTGGATGAAATAATGGGGATGGTTGTGTGTTGATCGTGATGATTCACACAGGTGGCAGTTAAAATGTGGCCAGTCTCAGATATAAACTAGCAACCATGGAGTAAAAGGCGCAGCAGTGATAACGTAGAAAGCGTTAAAGCGGCAGTACCACATATTCGAACATTGTTACGTGGAGTTTCTAACCTGTTACGAAAAATTGGTGTTGTTATTGTCAAAGGAACTTAACAACAGCTACGGGCCGGTGCTAATGTACAAAGCGTTACTGTGGCTTATATAAAGAAAAAGGGATAATTTCAGATACCTCCCCTGAGGTTTCTGATAGTCTCACTTCCCTCCCCTGTGGTTTCAAAAATGCCACAAACTTCTCCTAAAACTAAATAAGCAGTCTCAAAGTAGACCCTATTCAAAAATATAAACAATAAAAAATGGGTAGTTGGAGAGAGAAACAACTATATAACTGTGAATACCCTGATTATCTTGCATTAGTGAGTTAATCTCATATGAAACAGGCACAAAAAATTGGTGTTTGTCCTTGCAAGTTGCAGTAGGTATGTAACACCCTTCTCTATATGACTAATACTGATTTAACTATAAACACCTTACTCGGAGTGATCTATAAGGTACAATAAGTTTACAAACATGTACATTATGTTATATGTTAGTTACTTGCCTGTTTTTATATTGGTTAAAGGTTCTAATTTATCGTTAATTAGATTAAATGTGTTTATAACTAACTTCACCAAATTTGTACTGATAATCACGAAATATTAGCTAACTTGTGAGGGTATTTAAGTCTTTTTGGCCATGATAATGTAAGAAATGGGACCTAAAATTCTGACAGGGGAGGTTCGATGATATCTTTTATAATTACATGAGAGGAGAGTGAGGCTGTCAGAAACCTCACCTCTAAATATCTGAAATTATCCCTAAAAAAAAGGGGTGATTCTTCTGCTTTAGTATACATGCAACTAATTGTTAAGGTAACCATTACAGTTTGAGCTTTGGTCCAATGTCAATAAAATGAGAGTATGAAATGTAATACCTCTGAGTAAAGTACGGTTAGACGAGAAATTTTGTAACAGGGACGTATATTAAACACTGAAAACGGGGCAAGAATGACCTCGCCTGAGCTGTTAATGGCCATAATTTGGCATCAACAAATTGTGCAAACCACATCACAAGTTGGACATCGATTTTTCCACCGTGTGTGGGACCCACAAAATTTTGTACTAAAGTTACACGTGGTGCAAACAAAGTTACGCCGTGTGCAACCAAAATTACGCGCTGTTGAAAATGGCCAAAACTAGTATCTCTAATATTTGATGCAATTTATTACCAGTCTGACTAATATAAAGTGCGATCAGGTGAAAGTTATAAACTTGCGCAAGATTCAAGATGTCTTATACAACAACAGTATGTGTAACTTTTTACGTGCTCTATGTAACACACTTTCAACTACGAAAGCAGATATATACCAATCCATGTCAATTAATAATCCTTGCATATAAATATCTGAAGGCGATAAGAACGAGCAATGGCACTATCAGTGTCATAACGTGTTTCTAATAAGTCATGAATTTTGCCACTGCTCTTCATTGTCCATAATCTTCGTAGTGCCGGTATTACAAGTAGTTAGCAAAAAGTCACAGACAGATTTAAAACAATTAATGTTCGGCTAATGTTATTACTGACAATATTCTAGTGACAACTCAAAACCTAACTTAAATTACAAACAGCTGCAAATATTGGCGCTAATGTGTCCAGAAAAACAAAATCAGTAACTGTTTCAAAAAATATCCTTTGCTATTATGCATAGCAGAAACAACAAATTACATCCCTGTTGAAGATGCTCTTGCAACCATTTACTATTTACTCCCAAGCATAGCGAAAATAGTGTCTACAAACTTTGTATTATGCTCCGAACTACAAAGCCGCGCGGTGTACAGCATTCGATACTTCGTAATATTTTCCTGCCACAATTTCACCTCTGATAATCAGCACCCCGATAAATTAAGTCCAATTTATTAACAATTTTATTGCCACAAGTACGTACAAAGATAGTTACAAAACGTGACCACACCTTTGTAATTCGCATAGCCAATCTTCCACTCCAGTGTTCAAGAAAGGTCATCGTGAAAACTCCACTATCGAACCTGGTCAGATCAACATGAATCTTCTCAGGAATAAGGATAATATATTAAAGTGATGGTAGTACACCATTGCAGTGATAAGCTATCGGGGAAAAGGACATGGAAGATCCAATATTATACCAGCTATCGGGTGACTGATGAGGGACATCAGCAACTTCGAGTTTGAAACTTGCAAAGTCAATTTTCATCCCAAATTTAGCTGCCAATATCAGTCCGAGGCCACGTTGCTGCACGAAACACGGTCAAGTAACTCAACATATGATAAAAATCAATGAACTATTCCCATAAACAATCATACCAAGCGCTTTAGAACTGTAATATCTTTGCTTTTTGCTTGTTGTGGGTCAGGGTCTAGCAGATGGACTACGTGATGCGTGACATGGAAGGAGTACACGAACCAGTAACTATCTACGCAGACAGGGACAAGAATCTGATGCAGAGCAAAAACCATTTCAATGGTAAACTACCATAATTTTCATGTTTACTAATAATTTGCCAATAAATACAAATTCAGCAATAGTTACGATAAGATTATGTCCATACCAACTGACACTTGGAAGGATTAGCCGAATTATCCGGGCCGCGGATCTTGAACAACTTCATAAGCTTAGCAGTTAGGATGTCATCCGACTGTGCATCGAATTTTCGAAGATTCAGGATGCCATCCTGTTAATAATCAGTACAATGGAATATAAGTGTTAACGGTGATTTTCAGAATTAGTATAAGATTATAACATGCATTTGTTTGAAATTTTCATAATAGTTGAATGAATAACTTGCCATTAGCCAACAACAATTTTAATGCTTACAACTGCTATAGGCTCGACAATATAGCGTTTGACTCTACTGGTTGTGCTAGTCGCCCCGCCCCAGTTGATATGCCGGGCAAACATGTCGATGACCTGTTTATTCACAACACAGTGACAGAATTGATTTAGTTACTGCCATTTCAAAAACCTATCACTTTACCTTACCAAACCAACACAATGTATTATTTGTCGTATGTGTCAAATATGCCTAACCCGAGTCGAGACATGCATGCCATCACAAAGAGTCCTGAGGTCATCTCGTGTGAGAGAAAGTTGAAACATTTGAATGAGAGTCTCCCTGCCATTACGCGAGACAAAAGGAGACGCTATTTAAATTTGCCAGTTCTTATCAACCATGAGTTACAAAAATGTAAATGCTTTATCAAGTTGTTACACTCAGTTTCAGCCAACAAATAGTAGCACAAATAAACCATGCATCCCGTAGGATGGAGAAATTTTACTACCTTCTGCTACTTCTTCATTATAATCAAGTAGTAAAAGATACGTAATTTGGGAGAAATTTTACAACCGTCTTCTAAGAAGAAGTGATGCCACTACAAACCAACTTTAATTCTAACTGGGAGAGCATAAAAATTCAAAGGCAACATGCAAGAAATGACTGACTATTTATAAAAGGGATAATTTCAGATACCCCCATTCAGCTTTTGACAGTCTCACTCTCCTCCTTTGCGAATTCAAAAAATTTCAGAAAAAGTCTTACACACCCTCCTTATCATAACTTCAGGTCCTATTTCTTACATCCTCGTGACTAAAACGACTCAAACCCACTCACGACTTTACTATTTTTTCGTGATTATGGGTTCAAGAATCCGTCTAACATTCTCAAAAGTAACATTTGAGTATTCTATATCTAATCTCCATTCCACATGTACAAATAATCAAGTAACTAACACCTAACAGGAAGTACATTTTGCTAGTCTTAACTTGGTGACTAAAAAATAATTAAATCGAAGAAAAGGGACATTGAGTTAACCTCAAAACATGCATGAATTGATTAGGAATAGACTGGAGAGATGCACTTAACAAATAGTGGCAACTATAAATTCTTAAGTGGCTGTAGCATAACCTTATAATCGTATTATAAACACATTGGAACCTTACTTGGGATTCTGATCTACCTCCCACGCGAATGCAGCGATCCTTTTATCGTACGTGCTGACTGTTACGTGTGAAGGCAGAAGGTACTCGGCTGACCGTAGCATGCTGCTTTTCTTCGTTGCCCGAGTTGGTCTCCCCTCATTCTCATCTTCAACAGCTGCTGAAGATATCAATACATCAGAAAACATAATTCAATAATTAGTTCACACTGACAGAATAATGCTTAGGTATGCGTGTTATACAAAAAATTAATAGGTCAGCAGCAGGGCAGTAAAGTTTAACATGATAACCGATCAGCCAAGTACTCTTCAATTGATATGCAAAACTAAAATGCATTACGCAATAATTCAGCCTCAACGGTATCAGGGTTTACAGTCGACAGAACATAATACAATAAATTCATGGAAATTTGTATATCAAATTCTTGACAGCCACCAAGTTTACTAACCTTTCCTTTTGCGACTATAAGACCGCAACCTTCTCGGTGTGTTTGGCCCATCCAAAGGATGCTCAATTTGTATGGGACCTGTTGAGCAATCATGCTGCATAAGTTGTGTGGCTTCATCCGTAATGCGGTCAGAAATGCTTGTTATATGGTCAGTATGTACTTCAACGTCTCGTGAATCAGATTGGCCAATTGGTGGGGTATCATTTGCCTTGTTTCCACTGAATGAAATATCCTTTCCATCACCTGTGATGCCATCATTTTCTGCCTCCTTTCCATCACTAGTTCTCCCACTTTGCTCTTTTTCAACCGTCTTTTGCCCTATTGCTTGCCGATTTGTTGGTTCAGTCTCATCTATTGATCTGATTGACGTCACAATGTCATCGGCAGTACCACCGGCATCTTGTTCTTTTTCACTATCACCGTCATCGAGATCTTTGGAGTCCTTTCCATCCTCAGCCGATTGATATTCTGAATAATCTTCGCTTTCCATATCAAGATGTATGTGCTCTGAATCAGACAGCCTCTGTTTCTGCTTTTCCTTTGAAACGACCTCTGTTGCTGCTGCTTTGGCCCTAGGATGAGAACACAATATTTCTGCAATCTTTAATATCCTTCTTTGACAATTCACTGTCATACTGTACACTTCTGAAAGCTCAGCCTGCTTATACATTAACAAACTATAATGAATATCTCGTTTCGACTTAATCCAGAACAGATGAATAGGAAATTATGCATTGATGTGTATTACTTTCTTGTGGATCTCACTAAATCTGCCTTTTCACTTTCAATTGGTGAAATATTTTTCATGACTAAGTTATGAATATCCAGTTATATGTGAAAATGCCTTCAGCTGTATTTGCCACTCGAATCGAATGAGGTTATGATAGTTACTTTTATATTTTGCATGAATAATATGCGAAAATTTTTTTCACTGCTCTTTTCTGTCATAGAATATAGAAAATACGACACGATCTGTTCTATGCAAGAAATGTACCTAGCTTAGATCACAACAATAGTGTTATTTGTGACCGGTATTTGAAAAATGTTGCCATCTTTTACAAAGCTTAACAAACGATTGGGTGTACTTATTTGTCCCAAACTCCACTTACAACAAACTTTCCTATTTTTGTATGTTATGCATAGCAAACGGAAAATGATTGTATGCGGTCATGGAAGATTTATCATGATTGTATCGGACAAGATAACTTTCCCCAGTTACGAAGGTTTGGCTGCTTACAAAAACATCAGTATAAATGCATAACATTTGCTCTTAAGCAACAACATTACAGAATGAACTTTCTTCTAAGAAAAGTTAGGCAGCTTACAGCAATGTCATGATGACCGCTGTCCATCATTATTCCAACTAGCTCAGGGGGTAGTTCATTTATCTGTGCACCTGATTCAGCCTCTTCCTCTTCATGCGCCCCAATCTACGAAAATAAAGTCAAACCATCATTTCATAAGTACATGGTATGTGTGTCTTATACATATGAACTAGTAAGTTACAATCCTTATCCAAGCAAAAAAATAATTATCTCTCTTACTAGTTTTCCTTTTCCATAACCTCCGAGATTATCGATCTCCAATGCATCCCGCTGTGAAATTAAAGCATCTGTCCATGCCTTTGCTCTTGGTGTAACTCGAGCCACTCTATGCTTTAGTATTGTCACTCGATCGAGGTAATGCACCTGCAAGCCAATTGGCGACTGACTCATCATTTATATCATTTGCAAACAATATATGTATCACGAATTTCAAAATTTTATTTATATCTAATGTTCGACAATCCTCTTTCCCGTCCTTCATACTCACTTATCATATCATAATATGTACGTTGCATAAACAACCTTCATGTGCCTAATTAAAATTTCAAAATCGTTGCATCCCCTACTAGTTAAATGACTTACTAACTTTCAATAACGTGTAATTAAACTTACCAGTAGAACAAAGATGCAGCCCCCAACATATTGGTGCTGCTTTCCGCTTTTCTTCTGCACTTCTAATATCCTATTGCATAGTACATTTCTAATGTACTGGGCCCAGTTTAATGAGGCCACCTCAGTAACCACCTTCGTGCAACCCCATAGCCGGATTTTATGCTCAGCCCGTGTAGTTGGAGCCAATAGACATCCACAAGCAAATGCAACAAATAGTCGCTTGAACTCGTCCCCACTGCTCATGGATACTAACTCCTCCGGCAGCTCTTTCCATTTGTATGTTCGGCGACTTGGTCCAGAATCTCCACCCTCACTGCTATCAGCATCTTCAACTGGTAAGGGGCCATCATTTGGAATTCCAAGGATGAAACCGATGTCTTTTGCTGTTAGGGGTAGCACACCATCTCCATGTAATTGAAAGCTGCTTAGTGTAGGATTAAAATTGTCGACCAGCCAGGTTCCTATGCCGTTCGGAATGGAGCGACACTGTATTTCCAGCAGCCCTCCAAACCCCATATCTCTGATTTGCTGTTTTTTTGTTTCATCAATGTTCGATGCTAACCAAACCATCTGATTTGGTGAACAACGAATGGTGTACTTCGGATTCTATAATCAAATTCAAGCGAAAAACTTAGTTAGTCATACACAGATTATTACATACAAACCTAAACTTCATCCATGCTTTGTGCTTACCTTATACTGCTTTATTGGCGGTATAGTCTTTCCAAGTCGCGTCATTTCTCTCTTATACTCCTCTTTTTCTTTCCAATAGTTCTCTTTTCGCTTCTGTACTTCTTCCTCGCTCAATTTATCATATGCTGCTTTGACCATTTTATTATACTGCATTCGATGCATATAATCGTTAATCATTCCTAATGTCATCATCATTTTCTAATGGGTTAATAGTATAATTCCTCCCCTGACTTTTGTTCTAATCACATCTGACACCTCTCAAATTAATATTATCACACCTAGCACCCCTGGCAGTGGGATGTGACAGATTATCCTAATCAAAAGATAAAAAATTATTCAAAAATCACCAACATCTACCCCATGCCACAAATAACCTTAACTCATTCAGAGGCTTAAAAAAATCTGGATAAATAATGTTATACCACAACTAAAGTTGAATGGCCATAATTTAAAAATAATCTATGCAGTATACGGAGACCAATACTCCACTACAAAACTAAGAACAAAACTGTATACCAAAACAGATAAAAAAAATCAGAAAATTTTTTTAAGAATTTTTTGATAACTATTCTAAATTATGTTATATTTTTTTACAAATTGTAACTCTAATTGAACTATCCGTAAAACCTATCATAAGAGATACGATTATTACGTATTGTACCCATATGTACACTAATGTGTTACACAAAATTACAAAATTTTCAAAACGTGTTACCCTATTCAAGGATGATTGATCTAACAACCTTATTTACCTCGCATCTCTCCAAACGATACATATCGTCGTACTCCATGGTCTACAAAATAACAAATTCGGTTACAGTTTCATACAAATCCTATTACAACCCTGATGCTATCCTATTATTTATTATATGATCATTTACGTATACTAAAAATCAAGATTTATACCTGTTTTGCTCCTACGAAGTATACTTATTTTGGGTTATGGATAAAAGAGGAACAAAAATAGAGTCTCTCTCATATACTTCATTTTTTACTACTATTTTCAAATAGAGGGGCTGACAATGACATCAAAGTTGTCATTCCAGTGGTGTTAAGTGTGATTTTGATAACATGGAGGGTGCTAGGTGCGATTCTAAGAAACCAAGAGGGAGGTTTCTGATATTAACCCTTTTCTGATTGTGTTGATTACTTTTACCGCGCCCCAACTTTCCAAATTAATGTTTTATTTAGTTCTTATGCATACCTCTGTTATCTTAATGCCTTTCACTGGAACGGTGCTTTGATACTCCTTCCTACACACATTCAATATTAACCAATTAACTGTGCATTCTACTGATCATTATTATTTTTAATAAACACCAACATTACCTAAACTTCATCCACGGATTCAGCGGTGGAACTGGTTGTCTAACTTCACTTGTCCCCGCTGCCTCTATTCCTTCATTTTCGTCTAAACTCTTGTTCCGTCTTTTGCTTCTTATCCGTGCCATCCTGTTTATACATAGCAATGAATATAATAAACATATACCAACGAAGTCTCAAATACGACATACCAATTACGCACTAACTTTTCTACTCTATTTTTTCTCTGTACTTATTAATCCACACCATGTAACACTTATCCAACACAACCGTGAACATGCACAAGAACTAATACAATTAACATACATTAATGCAGTTTCAAATGGAAGCAAATTTGAATTTCAATCTAACATTTCTCTTCACTTTCTGGCCTGTGCCTGTTAATCCACACCATGTAACACTTTTCCAACACTTTGTTGATGCAAAAGAACTAATAGAATTAACATACATCAATGCAGTTTCAAATGGAAGCAAATTTCAATTTCAATCTAACATTTCTCCTCTTTCTGGCCTGTGCCTGTTAATCCATACCATGTAACAGTTATCCAACACCATGTAACACTTTTCCAACACTTTGTTCATACACAAGAACTAATATAATAAACATACATCAATGTAGTCCCACATACGACATTCCAATTTCAATCTAACCTTTTCTCTTTTCTTTCTGTTCTATTCCTGTTAATCAACACCATGTAACAGTTATCCAACAACATGTAAGACTTATCCAACATTGTGTTCATACACGTGAACTAATAGAATAGACATACACTAATGAATATCCAGAAAAAACATACCAATTTGACACTAAAATTTCTACTCTGTTTCTTCTCTGTGCCTATTAATCTACAACAAGTAACACTTATGGAACACTGTGTTCATGCACATAAACTAATACAATAAACATATACCAATGATGACCCAAATACGACATATAAAATTCAAACGATCAATTCTATTCTATTTGTGTCCTATTCCTGTTAATCCACAACATGTAACAGTTATCCAACATTGTGTTTATGCATAGCAACGAATACAATAAACATACACCAACGAAGTCTCAAATATGACATACCAATTATACACTAACATTTCTACTCTGTTTCTTCTCTGTACTTGTTAATCCACACCATGTAACACTTATCCAACATTTTGTTCATGCACAACACCTATTACAATAAACATACATCAATGCAGTCCCAAATACCATATTCCATTTTCAATCTAACATTTATGTTCTCTTTCTGTCCTGTACCTGTTAATCCAAACCATGTAACAGTTAAAGGACAACATGTATGACTTATCTAACATTGTATTCATGCACTTGAACTAATATAATAGACATACAGTAATGACGATCAAAATACGACATACCAATTTTACACTAATATTTGTACTCTATTTCTTCTTTGTGTCTGTTAGTCCGCAAAAAGTAAGACTTAGCCAACATTGTGTTCATACACACCAACTGCTACACTAGACATACAGATCTGAAATATCAAATACAACATACCCATCCCAAACTAACGTTTCTTATGTTAATACTTTACACTTAACACACCATATCAATGTTTCTCCATGTCACTTTTTTCTCACATACCATAACATAATTTTTAGCCAACATGCTGTATGACCCATCCTTCACTGAATTATCTTGTGACTATTTGATAACGCAGTGTATCACACACTCAACATATTGTACATCTACGCAGCATATAGTAATTAGAACGTACACCAATTTTTTACACCTACGAACTCCCTCCCAAATCCAGGCACACATTTTCTCAAGCGGTTGTGCCGCAACATTTTCCCCTCCTTTCCCACTATCCTGTTTCGACGATCAAAGGCTAACACGTAATGCTCCTATCACGCTGCACTTATCAATTACTATACACAAAATTTTGCATGTGTGCCATCCCTCTGTACAATCATCATAGTGTACACCAACAACATCCAGAAAGTAAGGTTTTTCCACTTTTTGGTCAAATTACATGCATTACTATATCATTCTAGGCTTCCTCATGTTTTACCTGACTGATTTGTGGTCGTTCACTACTTTCGAATCCCACGATCTTCCACTTTCAAACTTGGGTTCAACTTTCTTCTTCTTTTATTAAACCCCAATCACCAAAAACTTTTACTTCCGCCACCACTTCTTCCTTCTCTTTGCTCTTATTTTCCTTCAACGATGCCGTTGTTCCACAACTTTTGCCAATGTCGCACTTTGTTGCCCGTCTTCTAGTTTCCTCTTTTAGTTCCTCCACTCCAATCTTGCCCTATTTTTTTACATTTGTTAATTTCAGCAACGCTTCCTTTGGGAGGGAGTGTAAGTGGGGCTCTTCTTGGGGAACGTTTCATTTTAGGCGGGACTTTGCTTGCCATTGGTGCTGACGGTCCGTTACGGTCAACACCGTCATCTATTTTTTTTCCCTTCATTTATATTGAAACGACGTCGTTTTGGAAGTCTGCTGAAGGCTGCTGACGTGGTTCATTTCTTGCCTTTCCTTTCTGCTTGTGAGGAGACCGCTTGGGAACGGTCAATCTGATGACCGTTCCCGCCCCGTATCCTCAAATGAGTGGGGACCGGGGACTGTAGAAGAGGATATGCCGCCCCAATCGGGGCTAAATCCAGAGGATGGTTCACGGCCACCTTCGCATGCTACCTTATAATATAACTAGGAGGCACAAAACGCGCTGCGCGCGTTGGGATAAACAGAAAATATGCCCACTTAGACATATGGATTCATGGAACAAAAATGTTTGTCAGTTAATAATTTGTGTACACAGCTAAATATAAATATACATGAATAAGTAGGAGGCAAAATTGTTTCACGAAAATAGGAATCCAAATCAGCTATCTTATCTTGAGCTTCAAATCCATAAGCTTCATTTCAAAATTTACTCTATGGTCAACCATAGAGTTAACCCATATAGAGTATATTTGACCTGAATCCTGATACATGATCCATATCAAAATTTACACCAAATTTCCCTTTATTCATATAGCAGTTGTATCCATGAAATCCTCCTTGCAACCGGGAGAAGAACAAAGAGGCCCGTTTCTTTGACGTTGACATGAAAATAAAGTCATCAATAAACCTTAAAAGCGGATATTTGCAGTGGTACATGACAGCTTTGTTCTCATGGTGGATTGCTGCAGACAAAGCATCACGTGTATCTTGGTTGCCAAATGAATGTGTGGGAAGCTCCACAAACTTTCTCCAGATTTGTATCCAAAAACTTGTTCCTACTTTTTAACATCTCTTATGAAAAATCCAAAAGAAATCAAACAAAACTCCAGAAAAGATAAAACATCAAAAAGCAGCAAACAATCACAGCCAGATATTTAGCATAAGGGAAAGAACAAAGCATACAAGGAAAAAAGATGAAAAAATTAGCATTAAGACCATTGCATAGCAGCATTAGTAAAGCAAGGATCCAAGAAACACATAAAGGAGTAGGGGGGAAAGGCAATTCTCTAAGATTCCAACTCCGTAAAAAAATTACCTACCATCGAACAAGCGAAAAATTTAGGTAAAGCAAACCAGCAAACAACTGCAACCTTGAATTTTGGGCCATGGTACAATTTAAGAATTGAAGAGGGCTAACAAGAGTCAGTCAAGCCAATTTAGCCAACATACCGCTTTAGAACATTGATGGCTTCTATTGTACCCAACATGCCAACTACCCCATCATATTTCCCAGAATATGGTATTGCATCAGCGCGAGAACCTGTTGAAACTGAAACTGGAGCAAGCTCAGTTTTGGAACCAGTCCTACAAAAAACCAAATGACGATTTGGGTTAAGTACATGTATAACAAGCAGAAGAGAATGAACAATGGATTATTACAAAAGAATTTTTCAATCAGATTAAATTTTTCCTACATTAACATCCAACGTCATTCTGCGAAATTGAGAATAATTCTTCTTAAACCACCAGTTCACCCTATAAATATGAAGTTTGAAGTTGATGATACTTAAAGTTCAAAATTTGGAACTTAACATCAACAATGTAATTTCAATTATACAACTTTTGAAGGGATTTCATCTTTTATTGCTTGAAATATTCTCGTGCCAATTATTCTTTCTTATGGACCATAATTCACCAAATATCTCTCAAATAATCTTTTTAAATAGTTCAAAAGTAGTCAATCACTTTTCGAATTTTCAGTACCTTCTCTTTAAAAAAAAATTGCACAAAGAAAACAAATGGAAACAAATATTTCTTTCAACGTTAAAAATGGCAAAACTATGCATCACTTCCAGAGAATTAGACCTCTTAAATATCCTCAAGGCCATTTATAACCTGGCAATAGATAGAGAATGTAAAGCCAAATTGCTATGCACCATGAACCAATTTTTTTTTTGAATCGGTGAACCAAATTTTTAAGGCAGTCGGCTGCATATATTACCTTATCAGCAATTACAACTTTGTCTGGAATTTCTAATTTGGTTCCAGGTTTTGCAGTTATTGTCACTTTCCCCTTAAAACAAGGGGAAAAAAAAAGAAAAGAAGAAATTAATGCATATGCCATATGGACACTAAATAAGAAATAACAAACCACTGTACAACCACAAATTGCCACATCACAAGAAAATCTTCAAGGAACAGATACATCCATAAAGCTTCAGAAACAGGGTAACAGGGAAACAGAGTAATAGGGAGACCAGTAGTTAGTTTGTATTACCTTCAGGGTGATACCAGATCCAAACCACCATCACCACTCATCTTTAGGCTGTCTAGTTCAACAATACTGGGAATAGACTTGATACGACTTAAGAAGTTGCCTACCTAAAAAAGTGAAAAAAACAATTAGCTATATAAACAATTCAACCTGTGGAGAAAGATAGGGGGCTAAAATCTCAACCTTCTTAAATTCAGGTCCCAATTCATAGTTGGGTTAGTTGGATTTTTCCTAGCCTCGTTGCAGACCACATAGCCGTCATCAGACAAAGTGTTACAGGTCGGACTGTAAAGGTTAAATGCATGAATAAATAGCAATTCATATAGTATTCAAAACAGAATTCAATAGCATGATCAAAGAACTGATTGGGGCCTTATTGTGGCGCTAATTAAAGGTGTTTGATAGCTTGTCATTTGTGGGTGTTGAGGTTTGGTTGGAAAGTAAAGAAAGACAAGGGAAATGCTGTCAAAATTTTCGCGAAGCTTCTGCACAGTCTTGGGAAATTTGCTATATCTTAATGTAGGAATGTCGGAATTGAATTCCATTTATTGTGTTTTAAACTACATTCATAGGGCTATAAATCGTGTAAATTTCAGACCCTGTTTATGTCTGTACCATTTATGGTGATTTTTCAAAGTTGACTGAAATATTATACCTGTTCTGTCTTTCACTGGATAAAGCAGCAATTGAGACTTGAATTTGACTGACTTGCGTTCTGAATCTTATGAGGGTTTCTCTGGAAAGTTATAGCCCTTTGAATGTATTTTTCAATGGTATAACTTTTACTAATTTTGGACTTACAAAACTTGAGATATGATTTTTCATATAGGGTTGTGCGAAACTGAAAAATCCTGTTTTCCTAGTATCAATCTTACTTTCATTTTCTACTTCAAATTTGGAGTTGGTCAGTCATTGTAGATAGGTTTTGAGGTTGTTCATGCCTTTAGGACTAATCGTTATCTTTTCACTCCAAAGTCACCTCTTCGCTTTACATTAATGGTTCATTTGGATAGGCACCTGACTTGTAATCGAGTTTTACTTGCGAATTCCACTTATTAGGTTTTGGAGTCCAGTCTTAAGTATTTGCCTTGATTGTTCTAGGAGGTGCCGGCGAGTAAAGCCGCACTTGGGAAGGAAACTTTTGAAATTATCCTTGTTTGATCAGGTGAGTGTACTACTCCCCTGAATTATTGCTAAACTGGTTTCCTGTACTTGTAAATTGCTAGTTGAATGTCTTTCCTGACTGTTTATCTTGTATGAGACGAGGGTGTATTTTATCACACTCGTTCTCTTGCCTGTACTGAACAAACTGGAATCTATTACTTGTACTTGTTATGTACTTGAACTTGTTACTTGCACTTGTTATGATGTCGTTTGGAAGAGTATCCAACGACCTTCCTGTTAAACCTGAGCTCAACCTCATGGGGAGTTAATTAAATCGAGCCAGCGAGGGCTTGGTCGAGATAATTGACAATCCATGGTTGTCTGTTCCTGGGGGAATCTTTGGGTATTGAGACTCTTGATTCCGGTATACTCGAGTATTACCATTCCTGTTCCTGTTTGGCGTTCGGGCCCAGTAAGGGTATGTTTGGTGAACGGGATTTTGGCATTAAAGTGGTGATCTACTGGACTGGTTCCTTTATTTGAACGTTGACGGAGGGTCAACAAGGCTGGATCAAGTATTACAACGGGGATTTGGCTCCTGAGAGCCACCTGTATCCTTGAAATTGTGATGTTTGTTCATTTCTTTTACTTGATGCGGATATGTGTCCTATAAATGTTTTCTCATGATTTCTACTGTTATATTTTTGGTACCTCATTGAGCTTCTACCTTACCCCGTTTCGTTATCCTTGTTTTCCTTACAGGAAATCACCTTTTGAAGACTATGATGTTTGAAACATGAGTTGAGCTAGTTTTAGTATTCTTTTGTGTAGCTCCTCGATGGTTGGAAAACCTTAAATGTATTTTAACCAAACAATTCCCTTTTGAATTGTAAATTTGCAACCATGTGTATATAAAAGTGTTTAACCATGTTCCTAAGTTGATTTGGTTTGGAAATGTTCTTTTTAGGGTTATCTAAAGTTGTTGTGCTTGTTTGGGTTTCGGACAGTGCATGTTATCTTCTCAAAGTTCTTTTGAGCGGTTGGTAGGGTTTACGCTCGTTCCGGATCCGTAGTCCCGGCGAGAGCTGGGCAGGAGGTCCGCCGAACCCTTTGGTTCGCCTTAGGGGGAGGTGGGGCTGTCACAGTATGAGCAAACGAGAATGCACTGAAATGCCGCAAGAGAGAGTTATGAGAAGTTAGGGTATCGCATGTGAATTGGGAACTATGGGGTAGTTGGGGTTAGGAGTGATTTTTATGGGTGGTTAACGGGCAATAGAGGTGTAATGGCGTTGGTTGAGTCAATTTCTTGGAACTTGATTTGAGAAAGAGGAATTTGAATTTTAAATATGAGAGGACTGAAAGGTTGCGTCCGAGACCGTGGAAGAAAATGAACTGAGGAAGATGGGTAACTGCCTTATAAGGTTCAATTTTTTGAGTGTCGGACGTCCGAACGAAGTGAAGCGTCCGACACAACCGTCCGAACCAGTGCTTTTCTGAAACGGGACGAAGAACACTGTCAGACGTCCGTTCCAATTCATCGGACGTCCGATAAAGATTGACTAGAAATGAAACTTAGAATATTTTTTCTGAAACGCCCAGTTTTGTTCTCAAGAACACAAATTGATCCAGTGGAAGAGCTTTTGTGAGGATATCAGCGATTTGATCTTTAGAACAAACAAACTGAACACAGATTACCCCCTTGGAGACAAGATCGCGAATGAAATGATGCTTTATATCTATGTGCTTAGTCCTAGAGTGTTGAATGGGATTTTTTGTCAGATTAATTGCACTAGTGTTGTCACAGTACATAGGTACACATTCATATACTAAACCAAAATCATTCAATGTGTTTTTCATCCATAACAATTGAGCACAACAAGCACCAGCAGCAACATATTCAGCTTCAGTAGTGGACAATGAGATAGCATTTTGTTTTTTACTAAACCAAGATGCTAAGCAATTTCCAAGAAAGTTGCATATACCAGTAGTACTTTTTCTATCTATTTTACAACCACCGAAGTCACCATCAGAGAATCCACATAAAGGAAGTTCATGACATTTTGGATACCACAAGCCAAAGTTTAAGGTTCCTTAAGATATCTAAGAATTCTTTTTACCGCATTCAAGTGTGATTCCTTTGGACAGGATTGAAATCGAGCACATAAGCATACAACAAACATGATATCAGGCCTACAGGCAGTTAAATAAAGTAAACTTCCAATCATACCTCTATACTTCTTTTCTTCAACTTTTGTACCTTCTTCATCTTGGTCAAGTTTGGTAGATGTGCACATAGGTGTTCCAACAGGCTTTGAGTTCTCCATTCCGAATCTTTTCAGCAGCTCTTGGTGTATTTTGTTTGATTTATAAACGTTCCATCTCGGGTTTGAACCACTTGGAGTCCAAGGAAGAAGTTTAATTCTCCCATCATGCTCATTTCAAATTCTTTTTGCATGATGTTGGAAAAGTCCTTGCACAAGCTTCATTAGTAGCACCAAATATGATATCATCCACATATATTTACACAATTAAAAGATCCGTGAGCTTTGTTTTGTGAAAAGTGTAGTATCTACAATGCCCCTTTTAAAACCATTTTCAATCAAAAACCCACTCAAACTTTCATACCATGCTCTAGGAGCTTGTTTTAATCCGTAAAGCTTTTGAGAGTTTAAAAACATGATCTGGATAAGATTCATTTTCAAAACCAGGAGGTTGGTCAACATAGACTTCTTGATCTATAAAGCCATTAAGAAGGCACTTTTAACATCCATTTGAAATAATTTAAAATTCTTGAAACATGCAAATGCTAGAAACATTCTAATGGACTCCAGCCTAGCTACAGGTGCAAAGGACTCATCAAAGTCTATTCCCTCTTCTTGAGTGTATCCCTTAGCCACCAGCCTGGCCTTATTTCTAACAACCTCCCTTTATCATTCATTTTGTTTCTAAAAACCCACTTTGTGCCAATGATAGGATGGTCTTGTGGTCTAGCAACCAGGGTCCAAACCTTGTTTCTTTCAAATTGGATTAACTCTTCTTCCATAGCTAAAATCCAGTGCTCATCATTCAATGCATCAACAACATTTTTAGGTTCAAAGTGTGATACGAAAGCAAGATTATCTACTAGGTGTCTAGAGGAACGAGTTCTGACCTTTTCAGATGGATCACCAATTATAAGCTCCCTGGGATGGTTCTGGACAAATTTCCAGGTTCTTGGAAGATCATTAGGAGTAGTGGTATCTCTGTCATTCACTTCTCCAGCTGGACTGTCTTGAGTATCAGCATTCTTTAAATCAATTTCTGGTGAAGCAGAGCCATGATCATTGATTGCTAACTTCTTTAATTCTTCTTGTACACCTGTATCACATCTTCACCACAACTCATGGAAATGTCACCATTAGATTCATCAAAAGTAATGTGTATCGCCTCCTCTATAACCATGTTCTACGATTATAGACTCTGAAGCCTCTTTTGTTTTCATAATATCCCAAGAAAATTTCTCATCAGATTTCTTATCAAACTTTCCAAGATGTTTCTTGATGTTCAAAATGAAACATTTACAACCAAAGACTTTAAAGTAACCAACAACAGGCTTTTTGTCAAACATGAGCTCATAGGAAGTTTTGTTCAAAATTGGTCTTAAGAGAACTCTGTTCATGGTATAACAGGCTGTGTTTATGGTTTCAGCCCAAAAATATTTTGGTAAATTGCATTCACTAAGCATGGTTCTAGCAGCCTCTTGGAGAGTTCTATTTTTTCTTTCTACAACTCCATTTTGTTGGGGGACTCTAGCAATAGAGAATTCATGTGTAATGCCATTGTTATCACAAAAATCTGGAAAGCCACAAAAATGAAATTCAGTGCCATTATCACTTCTAATTTTGATAATTTTCAAGCCAATCAAATTCTGAACTTTAGCAAACAGTGATACGAAGTTCTTGAAAGCATCATCTTTATCTACAAGAAACATTACCCATGTATATCTGGAATAATCATCAACAACAACAAAACAAAATCTCTTACCACCAAGGCTTGTAGTTTGTGTAGGACCAAACAGATCAAGATGTAAAAGTTCTAGTGGCTTTGAAGTAGAAACATATTTCTTGGGTTTAAAAGATACCTTGACTTGTTTTTCAAATTGGCAAGCATCACATATCCGGTCCTTTT